CACCTATGGGTTAATATAGGTCAGCAGATTCTGGCTCAGTGGAGCATCATGGAATGGGATCTATGTAAGATAGGCAAATCTCTCCAGATCTCGGAGAGTCAGTCATGCTGATTTTCACGTCATTGAGTCATAGGTCTGTAATTAGCTTCTTTCCAAAGAAACACTTCTGGATGGATTCTCATACCTGATTCTCTCTTCATTTCTGTTTTTCATGACACCCTCTTCAAACATACATTTTAAAGGAACAGTAAACAGGATGGAAAAATCATGCATGCCCATAAACGGCATGGATATGGGGTTGATATGACTAGCTATTACACATCTTGAGATTAGATCTGCAAAAGCACATATTCCCAAGCTAGCCTAAAAAGACACCAACACAAAAACAGTTGAATAGGAATGAAGGAAGACTTCCTCCCTTCGACCACGCTTCTTCTCAGTGCCTGGTAAATACTGATTCCCAATTTCCCCATTTCCAAAGAAGCCAACAAGAGGAGTATTGGGAAAATACTTGGCAAATATTCGTGATTCAACATGAAGATCTTTGTAAACGTGTTCCCCACGTCCAAGACAGGCAAACATGAAGGCAAGTGTCCTTTCTTCTGGCAGATTGCATGCCTTCATTTCACTGATGATCTTCTCAACATCTCTTACCTTCCTCACATGAGAAGGTATGATCACAGATGCTGCCTTCACATGTGGTCCATGAAATGCAACACCAAGACACACTATGGATGATGGGTTGCTTCCACTTGAATCCTGAAACAATACTGAATCTGCAATTCCACCACCAATTGCAACCTGTCCATTCTGTTTCTCAAACACAGTTTTTGGAATGGAAGGAAATGGATCTTCAGGAGCATCAAGACTGTGAAACAAAAGGAGACACTTGATCTCTGTGGTCCAAGGGACACCAACCATCCCTTCCCATTCTTCTCTAGAAAGAATTCCATCTGATTTTACTCTGTTGTCCTCAGTGACACAGAAAGTGGTGATACTCAATCTTGGGAGGTGAGGGAGAGTCATGATGCTAAAGGCCTCCCGATTTTCAACTTCCATGCATTCCTTCCACTCTGGACAGCTGCCCACTACACCATGCATTGCATTAACAGTAATTACGGAGTTTTTAATACCAGTTCCTGACAAGATATTGTCTGAGGCTTCCTTGCAAATGGTAAGATACTCCTCCACTTCACCTTCAGTTGCAGGCTCCTCTTCACAGTGCTTGGATAAAAAGATGAATGTAAGCTTTGGCTCACTATACAGTTTAGACCCAAATGCCATGGCAGCTGTTGTGTAATCATCCTTGCTTTGGTCGGAGTCCCAAATAAATGTGTGTATTTGATGTCGTCCTTTGTTCACTAGTGTTGCAACTCTTTGCCATGTGGAGCACACTTTACTGGCGGAAAGTAAATCATGTCTTGGAAGGAAGGAAAAGATCAGCTTCAGGAGCCCATATTCATTTGTCACCAATGTAAGAGCATGGGAATCTTCTACCCTGTCCATGTTGGACTTGTGCTTAGAGCACTCAAGGCATTCACCTAGATAAAAGATATAAGTTAGAAAATGTATAATTAGAATGTCTGAGAATGAAGTCAAAGACTTGCAGCCCCTCCATAGTCTTTATCAAGGTTGGCAAAAATCATGAACTTTAACTCATTATACTGAGACTTCGTCAATGAAGTCATAGCTTCTAGTTTGGAGGCTATCTAAAGTTTAGGCAAGGTATTGTTTTAAAATGTATGAGAAATAGCGCTTTACATGGCCGAGGGCATGCTTCTGATGTGTATACAATAGTGCTATTTCTATATTAAATAGCTATGTTATTGATACTTGATGTGATTTGTCTACTTGATGTCATTGCTCATTTTCTGATGAGGAATTTCACTACTAAGTTCATATGACATCACCATTGAACTTCTCAAATCTTCATTTTAGGGCTGATTGTACACTGGAAACAAGTTCATCCCATTTCTGCTCTCAAAATGAATCAAGGAATTGTTTGTATTTTTTTAACTATTAACCCTTTGAGGAGTATGAACATACCAGTACATCCATACTCCTGAAAGGTTTAAGAAAATTTGTTCCTCAAAGGGTTAATACATCAAAATATAAATTTTGGAGGATGGTTTATCCAGCTCCCATTCTTGCTTCAGTTGACAAAATCCCAAGAAGGTACAACCTAAAATAGCAAATGTGAATAATTTAGTTTCAATCAACTGTTTTATGTCAATACTTTCAAATAATACTTTGTATGAGCCAAAGCCATATCTCCCAAATACTTGTATTATTATGAGAAATGACAAATGGCTATTTAAATTCCAATTCAAGCAAGCATTTTGGTCCTAGCCTAAACTAGAGACCTACTCAGACTAGACAGCAAATGGCAAAAAGAAGGTACTCTGTACTCATCCTTCACTTGTTTTTAGGAGAGAAAATACCAATCTCAACTCTCCCCTACTCTTGTTTGGCCAAACTAGGGAATACCCACAGAAAATGTTACAAGCAGTGAATGATGAATTGCCAGGTCTAACATCAAGGCATGCATTATGCCCAATATTAAAGTTAATTTTACTGTTTTTCACCTGAGTCAAACAGTTTCTGGTTATGGTGTCCAACTTTGCACCTTCAGTAATTTCATCCTCACTCCAGCGAGACCAGTCATTGCACTGGCACAATTAGTGGGCCCCATTATTTTCTCCTAGGTTTGGTGTCAAAGGCCTAAGAGTGAGAAAGTCACTCTTGGCCCAACATAGAAGGAATGTGGCCCCCTTGGTATGGGTACGGCTCAACGTACACCAGGATCATGCCAGTGTGCTTGGAGCTCATCGTATGAAGGCCTAAGATACCATGCAGCATAGTGACAGGTGTGCATGTGGTGGAGCATAAGCAAAACTCAGTGTGCACAGTGGTGTGCATAGGGGGTGAAGGGGGAGGTGTGCACATATCATATAATACCCTGGGTTGTGTTTATAGTTAGTTCTTATGCAGTGCACTTGGGTTTAGTGAAAACCCAAAAGAGCTGATGAAACTTTAGTTGGAGTATCAAGCCCCTAAGTGATTAAGTTATTCGGTGAGCGTAAAAGTAATGGTGCTTATTGTTCAAACGAAAATGGGCATTCTCTAGGATGTAAAATTGTACACCGTCCCCCAGTTTTTCACTTAACTTGGGCACTGGTGCATGGGACACTCCTCTTGCGTGAGGGTCGAAATCAAGTGAAAAAATGTGTAAGTCAGATATAGTTGTGGAGAAATTGTATGTATGCTTGCTTGCCATGCCATGTCTTATCTGCAAGGTGGATTGGCCATGCTTCTTTGTGAGCAACAGCAAATTTTCATGCGACCTCCTCCTAGCCAGTGACGCGGTGGAAGGGATGTCCTTATTCGAGAAGTAGGCCCCGGTCACTGACTAAGGGGAGAGGTAGTAAGGTTTTTCTGGATGCCCTTAGAGGCACAGCAGCAGTTTTAATTGTAACCCCAGCCTGGACACAGTTTCCTGATTTACGTGGCCCACCTACCTCCAGCCTCTACCGTGGCCGTGACCATGTTTCCCCTTTTGTGAGTATATTTATATTTTTGTTCATTTTGTTCCTTCCTTGCGAAGGGCCTTAAATCCGCGAGGGCCTTGTTCTGATATTCAACGAATCCCAATCATACGAAATCTTCCGAAACTCAGTCAAACGCCACGAAATGCAAGACTCCCAACTCGGCAACAAACAAAAACCCCACTCGGCTACCGCCACATAATAGGCCTAGGCCAGTTGGGAGCATACAGGTGTGTTTAACCTAGTAGCGACGGGAAAGCCCGTGCTGTTACAAAGTTTTTTTTTTCTTACTTACACAGTCAGAAGAATGGGTTTCCAATCAAAGCCCTGTCTCTATGGTGTATTCACTGAGCGAACGGATTGAATTATGACAGTCCATGTGGACCTGTCACAAGGCAATACGGCCGCCATCTTCCTATCGTGCGGATAGGCATGGGGCTATTACCACAGTCTAGACTATTTCTAGACTGTGCTACTACGTCTTTTCTGGACATTTAGCCCTATTTACACGAGCTTCGTGCGTCCCGACGGGATCCCACCGTTGAATTATGATTTACAAATTGATTCACTCAAGAATATATGTCGCTCACTGCATTTCACTCAAACATATCCCACCACTCCTATGCCAAGGTTTGACTATTCAACTCAGCTGACGTTACAGGCAGTGGCGTAACTAGCGGGGGGCAAGTGGGGCAGTCGCCCCGGGCGCCACAGTCCAGAGGGCGGCAAAATAGCGTTTCAAAACATTTTTTATTTCAAAGAAGCAAACTTTCGGCAAACTTTTGTCCATTTTGCCGCCCACTGGCAAAATCCCCATTTTGACGATTTTGCGATTTTTTCCCGTTTGCCGCCCTCTGAACTGAGGGCAGCAAACGTCAAAAACGAAGCTGATTAATTCGTACCTGCGATCTACAATGTCTCAAGTAAGACTTGCAAATCTTGCTATCTTGTCAATCGAACATCAAGTTGCTTCTTCCATTGATTTCAGCGATGATTTCTCATTCTCCAGTAAAACGTGTGTGCATGTGAAAATAATGGGGGGGGGGGGGGGGGGGGGGGGGGGGGGGGCTGGAGTATGGGGCGGCAGTAACAGTCACTCGCCCCGGGCGGCAAATTACCTAGTTACGCCACTGGTTACAGGGTTTGCATGCAGTGGCGTATTTAGGCCGAAGAGGCAACAGAGCAGGGGCGCCAAACCCCACCCGAGTGATACCAGGTGTGGAAAGTATTTCCACCAGGGGGGGGGGGGGGGGTCCGGCTGCCCCCTGCTCCCCTGTAAAATATGCCACTGGTTAGAGGGTTTAGAATTTAGATGACAGGGAAGGGGCAGTTGGCTGATGGTCCAGTCAGGAAGCGATCATGGGCATGGATCCTCTTGCGCCTGGCACCCTATCATATCGTATTGTACTTATGACCGTTATGATCGCTTCATGTCACCCGAGGAATGTTGGGTGCATGAAGAAAAGCCTCCGAAAACACCTTGTTGCTCGCAATTTTACAGGTCCATTCGTGAGCCCCTAATCCAGTGGTTCCCAATCTTTTTTTTTATTACCGCACACATAAGGACACTTGAACTTCCCACGGCACACCCAGCCATTTACCTACTTTCAATGGGAAACTTGTGCTTGCTTCGCTGAACACAGCAGTTTGATACGAGGCGCGAAAGTACAACTCTAAGCTCGTTTTCCACTGAGAGACGGCTTTCCTCTTGCTTTTAAGTTTTTAGTTTTAGGTTTTTAGTTTTTTCTTTTTCAACTCTCAAACCTCACAGCACACCTAAGCCTTACTGGCGGCACACCGTTTGGGAAACACTGCTCTAATCTACCGGAATTTCAGCAAGGTATATTTATAATAATACATTTCGATAATATTTATTATTATCGTAAGCAACGTAGTATGGGAGGGTCTGTAATTATAAAGAGCAGATTTTTCCCACGACCTCATTTCGATGAGATTGTTCTGTGTCATTATTTGGAGAGAAAAAAAAACAAACAAGAAGCACGCTGAAATTGTCAAAATATTTGGGTTGAAGCATAAAAATGTGAAGCTTCCATCTAGCTTCTATGTGTTTGAATATTATGATGTGTCCTTAAAAAAAAAAAAACTCTTTACTAATCTTCCGACGAGGAGAGAGGAACTTTATCTCTTCTCCCTGGGCCAGAGGATAAAGCTGATAATTTTGCATATGAAGCATTTTATACTTTGAAGAGAATTCGCTTTGCTAGTATTTTCAAGGGGCCACCCTATAATGAGATACGTTGTCCCCAAAAGGTGCTTTTCGATTCGTTTTCTATTCAGTAGCACACTCGATGTGCAACACCTGAAAAATGCCGTAAATGATTTTTTTTTCAGCTAGATGTGTAGCAAGCGGCTACACTGATGTCGAGGTGAAGCTTCGAGGTGTTTAGAATTATGAAATTCACACGGACATCTGTTTTTTACTCCACACTTGAAAGAAACATTGCAGGTGAAACGATATTCGATATGCTTTGTGCTTTACTACTGAAGAGAATCTCACTTTCTGGTGTAAGCTCCTGGATGTGCGTGGCATTTAATTCTTATCGGGAATAAAAATTAGGCATTCCTCCACCGCGAAGCGACACCGAGTCCACGTACTTCGGTCGTCTGATTTTGCTTTCTTTGAAAACAGGGTGAGATCACTTTCACTCCGAGGCTCGTGTCGGTGGACCTGAACGGCAGCGCTCGGTCTCTTCCTTGCCGCGCCCCTGCAGTCGATGACGATCACGAGCGGTGGACTTCCACGATCTGGACGGGGAAGACGGAGAAGCATCTCGCCACGACAGGTTTCCCTTGCACTCGGTGCGATCCACGATCGGCTCCTTCGATTGACCGCGACGATCGTTTTCAGAAGGGAGTCGCGTGAAGTCCGTACCGACGGGGGATGGCAGTTGGAGCGAGTACCTGCGAGTGGAACTTCACCCGCGGTCCCTTCACCCGATCCCCTCGCACGCGCACGACGACGGGGAGCACCCTCTGGGTGCCTTCCCCCTCGCACGGGAGATCTGGTCCCGCGGAGAATCGCCGTGGAAAACGGACATCGTGGATGCCATCAGAGCGTACGGCGAAGAATGCGACAACCTCCAGGTCGGTCCGCTTCCCGCCCTCCGCGAATTCGGTCTCGTGCGCTTTCTTTCCCTTCCCAAGTTCCGTTGCTCTAGAGCAGGGATGCACAACCTTCTTCGTCGATGGGCCACACGAACAATTGATGGCGTTTACCCGGGCCGCGGAGGAAATTTTGTTTATGTCTGTGGCGTTTGGCACTGCATTGAAGGTATGTGAAAATGAACCGTGGCTAGGTCCGTCATAAGGACAGAGTGCCGGCTGACCGATCGAGCGAAAGCCGCTAATGTTGCCACCGCGAGCCGCAGGTTCTGCATCCCTGCCATCGAATGAGGCAAAAGAGAGGGAGTGACGTTTCGTCTACAGATCGAGTCGTGCTCACTGCCGATTACAACGTCCTGTTACTTGAATCGGGTAGGACTGTCTTCAGGCAGTTGGTACGCTTCAGATTTAAAAGCAGCGAGAAAGTGCAGGGCGTCAGTTATCCCTTCCGTGAATGATGTTCGCTGTAGTGGACGGCTATGATTTTGACTGACGGCTTTTCAGCCACGGTACCCATGCCTCGAAACTTCTGGCGATCGTAGTCCACTCCAGTGCTGTCTATTCCGTGTTACCTCCCTGCGGTGAAATATGCGACTGTTTCGGCAGAGTACCACCTTAAACATTAAACCAATGAAAATAGCATTCGTTTTTAAATGTTCATGCACGAAAGGGTCTAGCGCTGTGGTCCAGAGAGAGAGCTTCACGCCGATCCTTGTAGGTTGTTTGGAAGCAAGTTTAACCTTGTTAGTGACAGAGTCGATCAGATCGACGCGACGAATTTCATTTCAAAATGTCACGGCCGAAGGACTGGCACCAGATGCGAGAGGATAGGCACGATCGAGCGCACCGGCGAAATACATTTCTGAATCCTTTTCCGTTTTAGGGATTCGTCGTGTTGGTGGATGCCGACGATGGATTCGGCGGGATCGGATCCCACCTCCTGGAGCACCTGGACGAAGAATATCCGCGAAAGGGATGTTTGGCGATCCCGAACGCGGAACTGCCCGGAGAAGACGCTCCCGGCCTTCTGCTGTCCCTGAACCGCCTCCTCTCGTTGCATTCCGTCCTTTCCTCGGATGCCGCAGCGTGCATCCCCCTCTCCCTGGCGACCTCGTGGGCACCGCGTGCCTCAGCGAGGGTCTTCCCTTCCCTCGTCTACGATGTGAGTCGGAAGGTGGCGTGCATGTGCCTGCAGTTTGCATGAGATAGGTGGGGGGGGGGGGGGAAAGGGGGCGGTCGATGCAAGCTAATCTTGTGTGCGTTCGTGTCTCACGTGAAGATATTCCATAACGTCGCCTCGCTATTCTCATGGGAAGGACCCGACAGTGCAGGCATTATAAATATCACCATCCACGGAATATTTGATGCCGTGAGCTCGAGGGATCCCCTTCGACTTTGAGACGAATCGAGATGGGACCGTGGTTCGAAAGCCCTGCCAGGTTCGAGATTTATTCATCAATCTCTGCCTGCGCGTTTGCAGTTCGTGTCGATCGACTCGATGACGTCGGTTTCGCGGAGCTCCTTCGAGCCATCCCCAACCCTGGCTTACGCCGGCCGGCAGGCTGAGATATAAAAAATGAAAATGTTTCTCGAAGGCGATGCGGCCCCGCAGAAACGAATGGAGGAACCGAGTTTCGTCTGCATCTGAGGCACGCGACAGACCCCCGTTTCGAATCGCTCGAAAGCCATCGAAGCAGATTCGGAACGGTGCGGAATCGCCCCCAAGCATGCACTTTGAAGAACCGAAGGTGATGACGGGAGAGTCTCCAGCATCTCGGTCATTTCCGAGTCGATCGCGAAGCGCGCGAGTTTGCGACCGAGCGTCTCTGCAAAACTCGCCGCTTCGTCGCCGATGAACAAAGGGAGATGTTAGTGCGAATCCAAATGGCGCGGCATCTTATGCTTTTCATTTTGCATATCGTCTTCGAATTTCACGTCTTTTCGAGTCTTCTCACCTGGCTCATAGGGATCGGGCGATCGCACGATTCTTACGCGTTTTTTAAATGTTTGTTAGATGGTGAAGGGTAGAGGCTCCATTTGCTTTCGGCGAAATATATTATCTCTAGCTCCTCTCCTGTATACACCATACGACTCATGCTACTCCATACTACTCTAATATGCAGTATACCATATTCTCCCCTCTCTGCACCATGCTACTCCATGCTACCCATTGCTGCTCTCCCAAGTCCTCTTCTCACGGGTCTGCCCCATACTACTCTCTGCTATACTCTGCTACTTTCCTCTGAACCCTTTCTTCAAGGGTTTGCACCATGCTACTCCATGCTATCCGCTGCTATTCTTGTCTTAACTCTTTTCTCACACGTGTACATCATGCAACTCTATGCCACCCACTGCTATCTACCTTTCAGCTCTTACATCTCCTGACTTCGCCATACCGTTCCATGCTAACGCTTTTGTTACACTCCTCTGGATCTCATTTCCTCGTGTCTGCACCATGCTGCTCCATGATATCCGGTGCTACTAAATAAGTCACGCCCTAGGGGCATGTCATGCCCCCTATATCGACCCGGTGACGATAAAAAGCAAAAAATATATATTGAAACAGACACGAACCACTGAGTATTCGTCTGATTGACTTGGTGCGCTGACCATGTCGAACCTTTGCCTTCTACTCGCTTTTTTTTTGGTTTTCACATTTTTAGAGCGTCCTCCAGTGACGCCTTCTTAAAATATTGTCTTGAACAAGCGAAACGGGAAGTTGGTCCATTCTTGAAGGTGTTAAGTTGTGAAAAATGCGTTTCCAACATCGATTCTTTCTTCACCTGTGTTGTTCTCATGTGGCATCCCGGAGAACCACTAAACTGTCAAGTATGTAGTCGGCCTGTTGTTCAGACTGCACGGACTGGGGAGACTACAAGACACAGAATCATTTCGTTTTATGGATTCCACTTTGAGACACGATTGGATTCCACACGAGACCGACTCGATCCAGTTTTGATTGCATATGATTCCACTTCATTTCGTTGTTGAATGTTGAAGTTACCTGTCGAGGTTATCGAACAAATGGGTTGCGTTTCATCGTTTTCATTCTATTTCATTTCATTGGCAAATTTTGAAGTTATGGAGTGAAGTGGGAACCGATGAAGCGATAAACGAGGAGCAAAGGATAAGTCCGGAGCAGACCAACGAGAATAGCAGCGTACTGGGATATTTTCAGAAGGTAGAATGCAGCGGTAAGGAATACGGACGGGAGAGTAAGGCAGAGAGGACAGTAGCATTGAGTAAACTGGAAGAAAAGATTACGCAAGAGACAACCGCGAGGCAGCATGGAGAAGCATGGTCGAGTCGGGAGAGGTGAAAGGAGGAGAGCAGTGGGTAGTATAGAGTAGCATGGTGCAGACACGGTAGAATACGATATAGAAGATGGTAGGAATGAGTAGCATGGTGCAGAGAGGGGAGAATACGATATAGATTAGGATAGCATGGGGTAGTATGAGTTGTATGGTGTATACGGAGAGGAGCTACTTGTGACAAATTTCGCCGAAAGCAAATGGAGCCTCTACCTGGTGAAGGTAAAAGCAATAGCCCTCGCATGAAATTTGTAAGTTTTCCTCGTTGACTCTTCACGCTTGTCGGGCGTGACTCGTTTAATAAACATGAGTCATTTGATTTCAGATTAGCTCTTCAAAAAATGGATCGGGGATTTTTTTTCCGGAGGTTCATCATGGTGCCTTTTTTTTTTTTTGTTCCATCCAGGGAAGGAAGAGGTACGAAGCAGCCGGGATTTTGGCGACGTGTCTCGAGTCACTCACCACTCCATTCAGGTCTGCTTCTCTTCCTCTCGTCCTTCGCGTTCGTCGTCTCTTCTTCCCTCGCTTCGTTTCTCCTTCACGCAGAGGGGGGGTGGAGGGGGGGGGAAGGGGCTTAAGGTCTTCGAGCATGTTATGTATTCCTCAGCGTGCCATGCATTCTCGTACTCGTCCCGTACAGATGATGGCAAAGAAATGGGTTCACCGTATGTAATGCGATGGATGTTGCGATGACTCGTCTCGTCTGGATTATTCTGCGAGGTAAATGCTCGTAATACAGTCAGCCCGCGATGGACGGCGAGCGACGGGGGAAAACACGAAAGCAGAAGGCGGAAAGCAGAGGTTTCCATGTTCTCGGCCGATGAGACTTGGTAATATGGGTTTTCTTGCGAGGAAGCCGTGAAAATGGAACGTGCGAGGTGCAGTCTCGAAGGGGCGATCGTTGCGGGACAGGTTCCGTCTTGAGTTGCGTCCATGAGTGCTTTCGTGGCTGTTTCTCATCCGACTTTCACTTTTCGACATTGACTATTGCTTTTTTTTTTTAAAGGCAGTCCAGCTGGTTGAATCGAGTGACGAGTACTTACTTTTTTGACTGCACCTGGTACTTAAGAAGTCGCCAGTCCTTGGGAGGATTCGCGGTCCTTTAAGATAACGTCCAAACCCCTCGGGTGCAGGCATCGAAAGATGATGATAATCTTCCGCTGGCTCGGGAGGTGGCCCAGCGATCGAACGGATTCCGATGCTCGCCGGGCCGTGCTTGCGCAGCAGTTACGGGCGCGAACCGAGCGCGGATTCCGACCTTGACCTCGGGGATGCCAGAGAGAGGGACTCCACGTCATGAAATGGGTAATCGTTTGGATGAACCGAGGAAAAGGAGTGTCGGGGGAAACGAGTTGCGAATCGATGGGACGGTGGGAAACAGGCCATCGACGGATAAATATTACGGGTCGATCTATTTATTTTTACACTATCTATCTAGGAGATCTATTATGTTCAACTCATTTCCACTTTTTTTCAATAATGTAATTGGTGAAATTGGTTAGATCCGTCACGTAGTCGTAACCAAATAGTGCATCTGCATATCGCACCGTCATTTACGCGTCGTATTCGTGGAACGTCTTTCGGTTGCTACCGATTGCCGATATTGTGAGATTTTAATCTGTACCGCCGATGGGCTGTACGGGACGCTGCTGGCACGTCTCGCTGCTTTATTCCTCGTTCGACAGGATTTTCATTAATTTTATTTTGGGGGGGCTGGAATTCCTCGAGGAACGAAAGCGAATCCAAACCCTCCGGCAACGAAAATCGGATTCCGTTTTTCAGGTCGAGACGCGACAAGCTGATGGACTTGAGAAGACTGGCCGACGGCGTGTGCATCGGGAGCCTGCGACTCGCCGCCCCGCGCCTCTCCTTCCCCACGCGAGGCGACGACGTCCAGTCCGCGATCGGAGACTCGGTCCCCCTCCTCCCGTCCGCGAAGGAGAAGCCCCTCGCTCCCCCCTGGGCGTGCCACGTCGTCGCGAGGGGGGGCCTCAGACGCCCCCCGCCGAGGTCGGACGCCTCCCCTTCCTCCTCCCCGAGGTCGAGCGAGTCCGGTGCGGAGGAACGGCGCGAACGCCTGCTCGCCTCCGCGAGGAACGTCTACCCGGGATGCCGGGTCGTAGCGACCCGAACGGAGGAGATGATCACCGTGAAGGCGCCTTATCCTCGAGACATCCTAAGGGGATTTCCCGACGGCTCAAAGTGTGAGTTTTCTCGAAGCCGACTCGTTTGCGAGAATCCCGATTTCCTCTGTTCGAGTGAGCCGAGTGGTGAAGGTAACGAGCGCAATGAGATGCTGGGAAACTCGATTTGAGCCTTTCGTATTTGAAGACGGAAACGTCTGAGTTGTGATAATTCCGATGCTGTCTCCTTTGTCGAAATCTTTTGAATAATTTCTGCAAAATAATGGTGTTTTTGCAAATTTTTTTTCTGGATAACCTTGTACACTAGTCCTTGAAATCGCAGTACGTTTTTTTTGGCTTAAAGATCCTGGATGTATCTTTTTAGCACTTTGAGCCCTGCAGCCGTCATATGATGTCCTACGCCCATTAGCATATTCAAATTGCCAGGGCTCTGAGTTGGGGGATATTTCATAGGCGTACGAGGTTTAATTACTTAATGCATGGTTTTGGAACACCCTGTATTTCAGCACTCGACAACTCTTAATTGCGGGACTGAGACTAATAGATGTTTTTGGTACGTCTGTCGAAATCCCCTAGTTAATCGCCTCATCTTAGTTTTGGTCAAATAGGATTGCCTTTTAATATTTCTGTCTATGTAGTCTTCCACACTTTCAGGGTTTGTTGAGCTTTAGATGCCGAAAAATGGCATGCCGTCGTTTTGAGATGACTCAGGATGAGCCTCATTCGTCCAGTTCAATTCGAGACTACCCTGAGAGTACTTTTCAGTACTGTCTATCTCTGCAGGTGTGCATTTCTCAATTATCCTGAAGGTGGGTGTGGGTATTCCATCGGTGTGCATCACATATCGAAATCGACTGAATGATTTTTGCTCGAGGGAATTGTTGGAGGTGAAAAACAGTTTCTTCTCAGATGTTTTTGAATGTTTTTTTTGTTACCGTTAGGGGATGAAACTCGGTAAATTGAAAGATCTCGAGGAAAGGAAAATCATCAGTTGAAAGGTCTGGAGTATGGAAAGACATTAAAATACATTAATCATCAATTTTGAAGTTCCTGCATGAGGCTGGCAAGTTTCTGTGGGAAAGGCTGTGATACTCAGCTGTTTTCCGGAGACGTGATCGCGCGTGATTATGTACAGGGTGAGTCAAAAGTCCGTTACCATAGCTTTAATTGAGGTTGCTCAAATTGCATTCCACGTGAACGTTTGGATGTTAAAATTCTGGCCGTCGCATCGTCAGAAACACGAGTGCGGATGTCTCTCGTAATTTTCCTGTGGACTCAACTGATCATCGGCCACAATCGACTGATACCTGCAACAGACGGAGAGAGAGCAAAGTTCTTATTCCTGTATATATTAGAGGGCGGATTGCATTACCTGAAAATTGCTCACGCGTCTGTAAAATGTGACTGGCAATCGTGAAGTAGCGCCGTCGATACGAGCCAAGATTTTAACGGTAGCCAGCCGAGCCACTGATCATCCGTGGGTTCGCGAGATCTGTGGAAAACGCGACCGAAGAACGGCAATCGTGCGACAGACTTGAAATGTGGCGAGGCATGGCCGCACGCGAAGCGTATGACATGTGCTCGTTTTACTTCCGCTGGTGAATCGAACCGGCTGACGCAGGTGGTTCGATGCGAGGAAGCAGAAATGACGCGATGTCGTCCCGACATCCGCCCTCGCGATGTGCAACCTTTTATGGCAAAGGGCCGGATGGTGGCTACTGGGTACTCGTCGCGGGCCGGACATTGGGGGACGCAGGAAAATCCTCAACGGAACGACATATCCTCTTTTGTATGGCAGTACTAGCGGAAGGGTTTTATACGGCTGCGGGCGGGATGATGTCCTTCCTCGGACCGGAGGTCGTGCATCCCTGCGTTAGAGGGTCGGGTGGGACCGACCGGGCGAGCAGAGAATCCTTCTTGTGGATGTCGTTCCACGGGAGAAGGCAGATCGAACTGGGGGGTCGACGGGTGCGTTGTCGTGCGCGCAGGGGGAAACACGCTTTTCCGCTGCAACGGTCGATGACGTGGGTTCTGCGGGGGTGGTGGAGGTCGGGCCAGAGATGGGTTGGCTGGCTGGAATTTCCTTCCGAGAGGAAGAGGTGATGCCAGATCGGTTCGAAGGAGAATTTCCTTCCGAGAGCCGAGGACACTTTCAGGCATCTGGAACACGTGTGCTTGAAATTGAGTTTTTTTTTTTCTTTCTCTCCCATCCAGGTCCAGAGGAATTGCCGTGCCTGAGTCTGCTGGAGAACGGGGCGGACTGCGGCGCTTCCCTTCGGGAGGCGATCGGCTGCGTGGAGGGGATCCGTCTCGCGTCGCTGCCGCTCTTCGCGTCGTCCGGGCTGGAGCAAGACGGTTTCGGCGAGGCCGTGGAGGCCTTGCGGACGCTGGTCGACGGGTATTCGCAGCGGGATTCGTGATGGCTTTCGGTGTCTTTTTGTACACGTGGCTTTTTTTTTTCAATAAAAGGGTTTCGTCTGCCGTTTGCTCGTTGTGGCGTCGCCTTCTCGGCTCGCATCGTGACTCGATCCTGCGTGGAATAACAAACACGTGTCAGGATGTGCTGCTATACGTCAGCAAGAGCAGTAAACGCTCTCGAAGAGAAGATTGTTTCGTTGGGATTTTTTCGTTGGGATTCCCAGAAGCGTCCGAGAAAAAGTCATCACGTTATTTAAGTTGTGAGGGTCCTTGCGCCGGCACCACTGAGAAATGGTTTTATCAGCAGATCACGGCGATGTTGGCAGAAATAGTCCATTAGATCCTGTTTAAGTGCGTAAAAGGCGATGAGATGTGAACAAGCGGAGAAAAAAATGTTATCGGATTTTGGGTACACAAGATAAGAACCAGTTCTTGTCCAGTGTTTTCTCCCAAGAATCAGCAAGTTCGCATTCACCGTGCGCACCTTACTCTCTTTCACCCCCTAATAATGTCAGGAGAAGGAAAAATACACACCATTGAGTAGCACAGGATGCTCCATTTCCCATTGAAAATAGAAAGAAGATTCAATTTGCCAAGCATTTAGGCCTGGGGACTCGCGAACAATTATTACCGTACTTGAGCCGAGATTCCCAGGCAGGGAAAATGACCCTGGCCGACGACAAATGAGAAAAATGGAGTGGGGTGAGGGGAATGTGAAAATTCACGCAAGCAGAGCGCATTTAAAAACGGTGAGTACGTATTCAGCCCTTGCAGCAGCTGGATTAGACAGCCGCCCATCACACACTGCTTTCGGATTGATCTCTTACCCCGTCGTAGGAGCGCTTCCATCGATTGCAGGTATTGACATATTCCACCTGGCAGGTTTCGTGCAACATCTGAAACTGACCCTGTGGAAATTGTTTTCACCGTGCTCCACAATACAGAGGGGGGGGATAAGGGTACGAATTCATTCCGGAAAACAGTGTAATTGATGTTGGGACGGCCCCTCGAATGCAGTCACGTGCTTTTGTTTCCAAACAGCGGATGACGTCACGAGATAACATGGCACTCCCTTGGTCATCGCATATCCTACCTGTAAACAATTGGATGTGCCGTCTCGGTACTGTGTCGGTTCTCGTACGGATCATGCGAACCTTTCTGGTGTTCCTCGTACTCCTGATTATTCAGTTCCTTTTGTACCCAGTATTCAGCACGGCCTCCTGGTACATGTAGAAAGCTCACAATAGGCCCTAAGCATAGACTTAGAGCGAGTCATCAGCGATCTCAGGCGCAACGTTATGCCTAGGTCTTCAGATTTTCATAACGCAGAAGGCCCGAGACTCACATTGCGCTCATTAGGAAAGGCATTTGTGTGAACGGTAACTTAGGCCTACCTGCCACGGACAGTTCTTGTCTGTCACGTATTTCTATCGTTTCATTGTTTCATTTCGCCCTTGGAATACCCTTTGTGGTATTGTTCCATAAATTCATTTATTCACTTCCTCTGGATTTCGATTGCTTCCATTCTCTCCGCATTGCCGTGGTGTTGTAGGCTAGAGGCCTGGGGTTACCAGGACACATTGTGTTTTGCAAATGAATTTGTACCACCTTTAACTTAGAATCCAAAAGCCCAATGCCATACTTATCATGGGAGATACACCCTCACCTCCTGGATTGCACTATAGAAATTTCATTGCTTATTGTGAAATATGGTACAAATTCTTTTGTAAAGCATTTAAGCTACAGATCTTAGTTCTGTCAATGCTGCAAGGTAAGTGTTATTTTAGTTTCATTGCAGAGGAGTGCTGCAAAACGCCTGTGTCACTGTTGAAACCAAAGCATTCATTGCAGCAGGGGTGAAGTATAAAATTAGCCCTCAGCCAATGGAACTCCAGTCATTCTCTAAGAGCCATCTTTTATGTAATCTAGATAGGCTAGTGCTTGCTGCCTATTTGACCTGACCTTTGAGAAGCTGTACATATAAACAGTGACCCACAGTCTGTAGGCAGTTACCTTCTGTCTAGTTCTACTAAGAAATGTGGAAACCATCTGTTTTCAATTGGGCTTATTGTGGAACAGGAACTAGTGACTACCTATTCAGTTATGTATGTTACAATATGCAGACTGCAGGTATCCCCAAGTTCTTTTGGAGGTAGGGTGCATCACTGAGAGTTGATGCTAATGTTTTTCCAACTCTGAAGGGATGGAGCAAATTAACCTCCCTTGAAGTAGAGAGGGCATAAATATTACATGTATGGGCACTTTCATCGCATGAGAGGACAAAACCCAAGGCCATCAGAATGTGCATCCATTCTTACCTTGAGCTCCCTAGTTTAGAAGTTATATTGCATTTCAGCATGAGACTTTTTGGTGAGGAAAAGCTCCTGTCACTGAAAATAACTTTTCATGATTTAAGTGCTGCAGTTCTGATGGTGATGTAAAGTTAAAACTTCATGCATCATTTCTGGTTTCCAGAAAGCCAAAATCTTGTGCAAGAACTAGGTCAAGGTAATTGCCTACTTATCATTTATGAGACATATTATAGTTTACAGTTTAGAAATGTTGGACTTGTATGAAGTAGGGGAAAAGTGAAGGCTTAGGAAAAGGTCCAGAAACAAATTGCCAGATTTACCCTGAACAGCTCTGGACTGTAGCCACTGTTCATAATTAGGGCTTTGGAGTGGCAGAGTGAAAGATGATTGAATTTTGTGGTATTTTTCTTCTGTAAAATGAGTAATGGTTACCCTGATCTTGTCTATAGAGATTTTATACTGTCCTACCTTGAAAGAGCCTGTAAAGGGCTTCTAAAGCTTTCCTTTTGTATGCATACCCATGACAGCCTTCCCTTATAATCAGAGCTTCTTCCCTAAAACAGTAGGGCAACCTCTCTGAGACAGACTCTTTTTTGAGACCAAGTCCAGTTACATAGTGGAGCCCTTTGACCTCTAAGCCCCAGGGTATTTAACTTCCCTGTCCAGCTGTATTGTGTTTCTTGATGTATCAGGTTATATTGCATATAGTTATGTTCAAAGTTTAATTAAATTCATGATGCAAGGATATTGCTATGTTTGACAAAATACAAGCTGATGAGTACAGAGATACAGTTATGAATCATAAGTATTTTAATGGTTTTCAGTATATGTCTTGACCTATTAGATAAAATAGCCTTGCTTCTCTACTCTACAGGGTGGGGCAGGTAAATTGGGACAAACTATAATGGAAATTAAAAAGACATGTTTTGCAAGCAAAAATCAATATATTGAAATTTTTGAACTGCTTCTGTGCCAATTTTCATTTCAATATATTGATTTTTGCTTGCAAAACATGTCTTTTTAATTTCCATTATAGTTTGTCCCAATTTACCTGCCCCACCCTGTAGAACTGAGAAAATTTGTTACAGAAATACTTTTATTTTCAGAGTTTTTATGTTCTGACATGCTACATGACCACCCTAACTCTCTCATTCAGGGTGAGGAGACATCGACCTGCTTGTGTTGCCTGTTAGTCTTGGCTATCCAACTTGTGCTTCTTCCCATAGAAAAATGGAATTTTTTTTCTTGCTATGGCTTATGCAGCATAATAGGCTAATGAATAATGGAGTTCTCTCCAACCCTGCAATTAGTTTGCATGATAGTAGCAGGTTATTGACTTTTTTATTTTTACAACAGGGGTGGGGTTGTATCCCATTTGGGAATGAGGAATCGTGCAGGATCACTGGATTGAAAAATGAGTGAGGAAGCTGAGAATGTGATAGATACTGATGAGGACAAGAGCTCTGGAGAGGAGTCACAATCCTCAAGCATATCTTCCCAACAAATACAACACAGCTGGGTGTTTGTAGAAAAAGATCAGGTGGATGAAGTTGACATGCCAAAGGATTCTTCTGGTGATGACAAGTGCAACTGCCTCCCAGACTCTCCTTGTGCAAATGATTGCCCAGAAAATTATGAAGAGACTCAGCACCCTGAGGTCCCTTCCTTGTCTGTGCCAATACAGACAGGACTGCTTCGTGTGGATGCAACTGGTAAGCTAGAGCAGTTTTTCATGATCCATTCATAATACAAACCATTTCAAGATATTGATAAAATATTATTCATTGTGCCATTTCATTAAGAAGTCTTTGATAAGTTATTAATACCACTCAATTAAGCTGATAGCAATTCATATTGAAATAATGTCACCTGATTACTTTTCCTGTATATATATGCTTTATGAAATCCCAAAAACACCCAATGGATAAGTACATGAGACACACTAACAATAAAGTTTTCAAAGGCATAGAGAATCTTGAGAAAGCAAATGGTGGTTTAGGATATTTATGTTTGAAGCTTACAAATTAGCTTAACCCTGCATAAAGTGTTTATGTATTTCTTGATATTTTCCTGCTTTCTGAAATATATCTCCATAAATTATTTAAGTTTCAGACATATGGTACTGTCCATATAGGGGACTATTTTTTTAAATTAGTAAAGTAAACAAGGATTTTTTAAAAAAACAAATAAAGCCCATCAATAGAGGATAGTGTTTGGTTTATGAGGCATCTTCTGAGAATTCATTCACCAGTGGCACTTCTGCTTTCCCTCTGAATGCTTGAGAATGCTTTTAGTGGAATTGCTTTTGCATCAAATGAAAGGGCAGAGTAACTGTCACTTACACACTGATCATTTATGACCCTACAGTCATAAAAATATATGAAGTCTGCAAAAGTGCCCCCTCAATTTGTCAAGTTTAGTCAACTTTTCCCTGAAGTTGGATTTCATGTCTTCTACTGTAAAAGTTCTCTTAATTTGAGTGGATTGTATATGTCCCCTTGAAACATGTTCATTAGTAGATAGCTGTTTCCACTCTTGCCATCTCTCCTTCCTCTACATTCAGCTTTCTTGCTTTCACTCTGCTTTGATGTGGACCTTCTCTATTTGTATTTCTGTTTGCCTCAAGACCAACCAGATACCCAGTGTCATTTCCTATGTTCTCCTGCCTGGGGCCTGTTTCATGGCAGTTACAAGTTCTTCAAGTTGCAAGTAATTAGAAGGGTTGTGTTGTAGTCATGCGAAGGACCACCTGGAAGAGTTAAACAAGGAGATATTACCCTTGCAAGTACTTGTAACTTGTAGAACTTATAACTTCTATGAAACAGGCCCCTGGCCTTTTTCTTGCTCATCACTTCCTTATGGACTGAATGCACCTGTGCTCCAAGGTACCATTCCTAAGCCACATAGTCTGCAGTCTTCTCAAAGACTTCTCAACTCCTTCACAGGCCCACAACCCCTCACTGTATCCCCTATTCCCAAGAAGGCTGCTTTCATCTAAGTTGTATTTTATCATAATTATTGAGCTGCTGCCACTTTTATTTTGAGAATTACCTACTTCTTATCTTTCTTCCAAAGACATTACATTGCTTCCTACTCAAACATAAAGCTACATTTTACTTGATACCTTTAAGCTACTACATCCCTGTCATTAGCTCTACATGTGGTTTATACATATTTATTTGAGGTGGAAAACCTAGAATTGTAAAAATGCTTTCTTATGCTGGAGTCTTAGTAGAAGTGAGTAACCTAGTTGCTAACCAGTCATTTTATCTTCTTTTTGCTGTTTTACCATCACTGCATTAATGCTGGAAAGCATTAATGCAGTGATGGTAAAACAAGATGCTTGGAATTTGGAATGCACTCTTGAATGAAATCACTATACCAATATACAGGGTGATTATAAGGAAGGTTCTCTTGTTAAATGCATCAGATCTCATAAACAGTTAGACACAGGATCATAGAAATGCTGGGGCCACGGGGAAGACAATGCTGTATGTCTTGTGTGTTTCAACAAAAGTGAACAAATGGCTCACTTATGAAAATCAGTTGTGTTCGATGTGTGCTTCTCCATTATTCATTATGCATGGCATTCAAGGGATAACAGACATGACAGCAGCTCGTTGCATAGCCTCTAGTATTCTGGCCACCTCTCCTACATTGGTGTCTGTAAAGTCTGGAATTGTATGCAGGATCCCTTGGTACATGTGAGTCTTCAGAAACTCCCACAGCTAAATCCAGCTGCAATACTGAGTTGAGATTTTGTCTTGCATTGCAGATGATTAATTGCCTAAATCAAGTTCTTCAAGATTAAGAACCAAAGTGTATATGAAGCCAAAGTTTCCCCCTTTCCCACCTTAGGGATCATCTCAATGGGGATCACTCAAATTTTTCTGAAATGCTATTTCTCTGATGCTTATAAAGCAGCTTAGATCAAGTGCAAGAGAAAACAAAAAGTTCCTCCTTGATTGACAAGCTGTTTTTGATTGTACTTCTCACATCATTCAATACCATCATGAAAATGATAATAGTAATTATAAAAGGGTGATGACTTGAAAAATAATTTTGTTCCAGGAGTTGCTTGCAGCTGGCCCACTGTGTGATGGACTTGCTTCGTCTTCATCGTGCTTTTGTTTTGGGTACTTTCAGTATAGCACTGAATTAAAATGAACCCTGAACAAATGAGGTATGTCTCGAGCTATCACAGCACAAAGGTGTCCCTTTCTGGGGCTCCTATGGGGGAAAGCACTTATTGTACTGAAGAGTACTTAAAAATGCAAAATTTACTGGATGTTTTATAGCTATAACTACCGGACCAAGTTGGATGAGTTAGGTACCCATAAACTTAGCTTGCTTTGACTCTGTTTCTGTTTATCATGGTGCCACTTAACTGAACCTTTGCCAGCCTAATTGAAAAGTACTTACTTGGAAGTACTGAAAGAATTAGAAAAACTTTTATTGTTTGACATTCTCTAAATGCTAGAGTGTGAATGATGGATTAACTAATACAAAATAGTATAGCAGTGAAAAGTATTGACCATTGAGAAATTAATGGTAACAAATATAGCAATAATTATTAGATTGAATTCAACACTTCAGGTCCTGATGACCATTTCTTGCTATGATGGAGTTCAAGTTAGAGGTTGAAAGTGATGAGTTTGTTCTAGCATAACTGAAAAAGTACTTTCAGTGAAGTACTAAGAATTTCTTATGAATGAATGTGTCATGTCTTGAATTACCTCTATGCTAAGTTGGAAATTTTAGGGGCAACTCTGACAGAAGAAGCTTGAAAGTTATCATAAGTGTGTACAATCTGGAATTCCACTGAACAGATAGATAAATTAAGTGCCTATGGCCCTATGGTTATGTGATCATTTGAATACAGTGCTTCATGATATTGGAATAGGTTATATATGCTCAATATCCAAGTTCTTCAGCAATAGCTCAAGACAAAACAAGTTGGAAGCTCCAAAACCCTTCAAAAAAAAATTTAAGAAAGATTCTTTTGTGATCCTAGCCCCAAAAAGTGCCAAAGCAATACTTGGTGGCCTCAAAATTGCCTTCCATGATGCTTATTGTTTTAAAGTTTAATGTCTCTTCTCCTTCTTGAAGGTGATTCAAACTCACACCTCACTCTTTCCTCATCCACTTCTCACCAGATATGTATGTAATCAAGAAAGAACAAAGCTGATGCATTAGCCTAACTAAGATTAGAGGTGACTTTCTGCCATGAAAGTCCATAAATATATTTTTGTGACTTTTACCACAGGGAAATAAATTTATTCTGTGCTTTGCCAGAGTCAATTTATTTTAAATTAATTTTGCTGACCATCTTTCTGCTGCACAATCACAATGAATGAGGACAGGTTATTACAATTTTTCAGATAGGCTTTGGATATCCAAGTTGCCGTTGTGATGTTTTAAAGTTTCCAGGTGACTGCATCAGCACAGATGCTGTTATTTTTAATATCTTGAGAGTATGGATTGATGAATTCATGGAAATACTAAAAAGTGTGATAGGAGAGGACAACATCTTGATTTTTTCCCATATGCATAAACTTTTGATCCAGTTCAAATTCACCTATCATTGTCTTGTGAGGAAGGAACTAAATCAGAGTGAGAATCACCTTTCCCCAAGGCCATCGTGCATTGTGCTCCTGAGTACTTGATATCACTACAAATATTTCTTCCTGCAATTTTATTTTCTTAATTTTTTGGCAGTTATTCCACATGATTCTCCCTCTAGTTTGTATTGGACTATTTTGGAGGAATATATTTATATTTATTATCTCGTTCCCTCTTTTATTCCTGTTTTCTTTCTTTCCAAATAATTTTTTTGGGAAGTAGGCAAGCAATGATTAGTTGTTCTTTCTGCTCTGCTCTTTTCTGAAGCTCACATGTTTATCAAACTCAAATTTTCTCTTTCAGTCCTCTTCAGATCTCCTTTTCCTTGATTGTTCTTGTTGCTACAATGTTACTTGCGTCGCAAAGGAGAATGCTAGCTGTTTTCAGTTAGATATTTAAGTACTGTAATATGTAGACCTACACGGTACTAAATATAACTGGCAATTGTCAGCTAATTCTACCTCCTGCTTTTTTAAGTCTCGACTGAGTCCTCTCTTCAATGGCTCCTCTTCCTGCCTAGGGGATCTAGAAATTTTTTCATTTATTAGATTATTAGCTTCATGTGGCAGTATCTATTTGGACTGTTATGACGTCTCATTGACATGGAAAGGTCACAAGTTTTCAGGTAGTACACACTTGCAAGTGTTAAACAAACTTACATGTAAGTTTAGGAAGATGTTAATTTAGAAGACCTACTATGCTTTCCTTTCTGTTCATATGGGTTTCAGGGACTTTGGAGTCATGTGCAGTGATTGAGCACAGAGAGAGTGACAGTGACATAGAGGTTGTTGAAAGAGCCAACAACATCGAGAGCCTGAGTTTGAGTTCACTTGATGAGATCCTCCCAAGAACATATCAACGACTGCTGATTGACATCCTCAATAGTCGACAACGCCATTCATCTGAGGAACGAGGTATGGAATCTCTGAAGGTTTTGTTTTCCCTTTATTTGGATCACTAGGAGACTAGGCCACTGAATTTCCATAAACTCATCTTTTTTGTAAATTGAGGTCTCTTTATTTTGAAAGTTCCTACAGTGGTCTTGAAATAAATTCATTTGTTGCTAAATCACTTGTGATATTTGGATAGATATAGAGATTGTTTGCTGAGCCCCATTTGTAGCTCTTGTCAATTGCACCTTTAGATCTCTTGTATACTGTTCTCAGACACCAGCAGCTTTGAAGGTGCCTGCCCTGAAGACAAGAACAATCTTTTTTTTTGCTTCTGGGAAGGTTTGCAGGAAAGGAAATGAAATCATTAGAAAAAGCAGATGATGATGTTCCAGCATTTGCTTTGGAAAAGAGACAGAATCCCCCATTAACCTTATCTTATTGCTCTTGAAAACAGGGAGAGTTTTTTGATAAAAATGAGGTTTTTTTTTTTCCCTCATGAGAAGTTATCAGAAAAAACTAGTGAGCAATGAAATGGTGAGATTTTGTGTTATCTTATGCTCAAGGTGACCAGTAATATACAAGAAGGGAGAGCATTGTTGAAGCATGTTTCCATCTTTGCTGTTTCTCCCACAAATCCAGGACTGTTGGAGATTTTGGTGCTTAGAATATTATCTGCCTCTTTTGTGAGAACTATCAGTTTTCCTAAATATCACCCTGGCTGCAAGAGAGAGGTTTGATCAAATCAGAATTTGCACTGTTATTATTTAAACTCATTCCATTTTCTAAATGGAATGAGCTCTTTCTCTAAATCTTTTCTCCTCCTCATGGTTCTGGATTGGTACCATTTGAGGATATCATTTTAAGTGCTGGAACATGATATGGTCCTATTTTGGCATACAGAATGCTTATTTCCTCTTAGGTGGATGATGCAGCAACCTAGAAATAACATTTGATGAAATATGAAAGAGCAATTGATCTTTTTTCAATTTAAAAGTTTAGAGCATTGTAGAAAACATTGATAAATATGTGCTTTGAAACCAGTAAGTAAGAGGGCTTCTGCAACTCTTTATTGGCATCCTTAGCATTCAACCTAATTTTTCCAAAATTAGCTGCATAGGCAAGGTGTTCATTTAATTTTTGAACTGCTGAGTTTTAAATGGTCCAGCACCCCAATAGAACTGAGTATTTTTTTCACACTCCTGGCATAGCCATTTAAATAATTTTAAGAGAGAAATGATGTAATACAATACTTTATTTAAACTTTTCATATTCATGTTTATTTATAAAAGTATATTACAATAATGAATTACATTATGTTTTTTTTATTATCTGCTTACCATTACATATAACATATAACACATGGTATGTCATATGTTCTATTGCTCAAAGATGGGATATAGTCTACACCTAGTGGGAAAAAGGAGAAAAACCAACAAACCAAGAAAGCATTTCAGCCTTGTCAAGTTTATCAGACAGCATTGCTGCCATCAAAAATATGCCAGTCAAGTATACCCAGCATCCACACTGCTGGCACAGACAGATGCTGTCAAGTAGACTTGACAGGTGCAATGTAAAGGTTAACTTTAAAGTTGATGAATGGGGTTGTACCCTGATAGTAGTTTTTTTTCTTTAAACATCACACAGAGATGGAGGCATCTGTTGAAGAGGCCCTGCAACATCTCACCTTAATCTTATCCTGATATAGCATGTCTGTAACCTCTCACCTCTTAACATTATTGTTGAGAACATGACCAAATGTACAAATTTACTAGCAGAATGTCATTTACCCCCTTCATGTGGCAGATGTCTTGAGCTAATTTAATCCTGCAATGAACATTCCTTTAACCTTGTAACTACCACAGCCTGGATGGTCATATGGCCAGATGGTTTCTTTCCCAAAGAATCTCTTTGAAATACTTTGTCTAATTACTGACACATGTTGTCATGAAAATACATGAAGTATTGGAATTTAGAAGTTTACTATGCTGCCTACACAAATGACAAAATTTTTGTATCATGGTCCATTGGATCCAGAATGGTAGTTACAGTATTATAATGGTAGAAAACAAATGGGCAGTTTGCCTTCAGATGCAGGGGTCATTTTTGGTTATATTAGTTATGAAACTTGCTTAATTCTTTCTCTTCTAATCTAGACATATGGAAGGTAGAAAAATGTAATTGAGCTAAAAATGACAGGGTGGCTTCTTTCTCTGTTAATTTTGATTAACTGTAGGCTATGAGTTATGGTTATAGGTTATGAAAACAAAACTCCTATTTTAAAGACTCATTGCCAGGTGTTGCCAGGCATTGGCTGGTATGCAAGAACGTATAAGACTGATAAAACTATTTTGGGGGTATCACATTATAAGTTTGATAGGTTGGCCATATGCAGAAACATTTTATACCTATCATGATGGGTTTAAGAATTGCTTCAATCTATTATGATCCAGAGCTAGTTTATTCTGCTTATAACGAGCTACCAAGGTGGATTGCAGTGCATTTTACTAACCTGATTTATTATGTGAACCATTGCAACTGGTGCTGAGTCCAATTACTCTTGGATAGGTTAAATCCCATAGAATACTTTATATCAATTGGAATTCAAGCACTCATCTGGTAAATAGGGTCAGATTAATACCATTAAATCATCACACAACACTCTGATCAGTCATGTGAGCAGATACACATGTCATTGTTCCTGGGTGGGAGATGATGGATAGGAGTTTGTCATCAGGAAGATTCACGAATACCTATCATGATAGGTATAAAATACCAATCGTAATAGGTATGATGATACCTATCAAAATATGCTTCACAATGGATACCTATAAATTGTTCTTGCATATGGAACTGAGCAAATTATAGACCTATTCCTTTATACCTATTATGATAGCTACCATATAATAGGCTATAAAGTGATACGTTCTTGCATATGGGCCCTTGTTCAATGGCCAGGTCCAGGTTATATTCAAAGGCCACAGATATATTGAGGTATGATTAACAAGTGCTTTTTAGTAATATTTGCATTGAATAGCTTTTCTTTCATGTCCAGATGAAACATTTCAGACCTCTTTCCAGTTGACTCCAGAAGACTGGTTGATCCTTGAGGATGTTCCTTATCATTTTCTTGGTAATATCACTTTGTTTCTTTTATTGCTGGAGGATTTTTTTTACAGTAGTCAGATAGTTAGAAATTAAATTTGCTTGCCCAATGGTAGAACTTGATGCTTTCATCAAGAGGTAGCTGAGTAGTATTGCAAGGATCATTACCATCTAACCCTTATTGGAGAAACATTTGAAGTCCATGTCACTTACCAGTATTCCTGTACTGGTACTATACTCAGGTGGAAAAAAAAGAAAGGATATGCTTTTGGTAACATTCTTTTCACATTGCTTCTGTTGGTCTTGAAAAGCTAGTACCAGGAGGTGTAAAAGTCATGGCAGAAATGTTGGTACATTGTAAGCCTGATTTGGTACTTGCTAATGTCACTATATAACCATTTTCACTTGTACACACCTCACTTCTCCATATAGTCCCCTTGCTAGCCACATACTTCTCTTATTAATGCATCTAATTATTCTATATGTTGATAAAGAATTGCCTGAGTTTGCTATTCATACAGTGTAGTCAGGTCATCACTGGTGTCAAACCTTTCCATGGAGGAAAAGTTTCATGACAGGGAAAAGGTTAACGTTAGGTAGTGCAAGATGTGCTAAGTAGGGTGGGTGTGCTGAATACAATGACTGCATCCTGGTTTGCTTTCTCGTCCTTTCCTTGTGATTGAATTCTGTTGCTTGCTGTTTGGTTGCATGTAAGGACTTCTTTACCCCCCAGAGTGGGCAGGTGTGCAGAAATTTATATCAATTTGCCCAGATTCGTTGCTATGCCACACAGCTGAGAGATCCTGCATTTTATTGTTTTTGTGTAGTCATCCTACTAGCTTGCAACTTAATTTCCTACTTTCATACTGAATTGTGTTAATACATTATGGCTGAATATGGTATAAAACAAATAAAGCAGACCTTTTGCTGTGAAGGCCATGAGTATGTGAAGCATTGTAGTACAAGTGAAGGTGTGTTTTTCTCTCTAGTCACCATACTCTTTTTGTAGTATGTCTCCCTATCACTTTCGGTCATGTCATTTCATTTTAGGAGTTACACCTAGAGGAGGTGCCAATGCTGCCAAATTTGCAAATGCCATGCAATTCTACTTGCAAATGCTTTAAAAATTAATAAAGTACCTGGAAAACATTTGCTCAATGCTGAATATTTCCAGGAGGAATCTCATTTTTAGGATGGGTGAAGGTTGCTATGAATAATCCTAGGGCCACTACTCATGCTGTTCTTGGTGAAAATTTGGAGGGGCAACCAAGTGCAGATGTCACCACCAATAACATATATCACGTCTAGAACTCTTTGGCACACCAAGGGATAGGTGCAAATAGCCAATGCTATTCCTTGCTACTGGCTCAATGCTACTGCACTGTGATGTTGCCAGTGGACCATTCATATAAATGAGAAATGGCACCTTATATTAATTAGGCAATTAATGGTAACTACATGATAAGTACTTTTTGAATGCACCTCACAGGGGCCTATCATATGGTATAATGTTGCATGGCTAGGAGAAGTTTTGTTGAGTGTTATAGATTGTCATTATCTAGGTGGTCAGGGAGAGAGATACAGCAGAAGTAGATCTGGAAATGCTGCAATAGTTTGTATGTTTATGCACTCCAGACCCATCACTGCTGAATAGAACATCAAACTTGGGGAATAATTCATCCTAATAAAAAAATTTTCTTGTTTCTGATAACTGTTTTTGTTCTGTTGCATTGCATTCATGCTTCTCTGTGTTCATGATTATGGACATGATATAAGTTAAATCTCCACTTCTTACCTTTATTGTTTGACTGTCTCTCAAAAGGAGGAGCAAAAAAGTCACAGTACCAGAATAGACTAGGCTGATTACCTTGAGTATGTTTCTTTTAATTGGACAGAAGGTGAAAGAGGAACTCCAGAGTCCAGCTCTCATCAAGAATCAGATGAGCTTGAAGCACTTGAAGATGACATAGATCCTGGAAGCACAGATCTGCCAGCTAACTTGAGTGTTATTCAGCCAGAAAAAAAATATGTTCATCACCGTAATGCCAAACTCAACCTTTTGCTCAATGTTGTGGTTGCAATTACCATTGCATTGGTCCTGGGACTTGGAGTTGGGCATTTCCTTGGTGAGTTCCCAAATGTTTTCCCCATCATTTTGCTGGGGAGGTTCATTGTAATTGAATAGGAATGTTCTCTTCTGGTTTTATCATAATATCTCAATCATTTTTCATAAAGAAGCTTGAATTTGGTTTCTTGATCATGTAGCATTTTGTTGTAGTATTCAGTAAAAAAATGTTTGGTGTGTAGGAGCATGACACCTTATGAATACCTTTCTTGTCATATATGTACAGAGAACTTCCATATATTCAAATTTATTGAAGACATGCAATTCTCAGTTTGTTCCATATGCATTACCTTCTTAGTGCTCAGAACCTCCATGAGTCTCAAACAATGATATATCATGCTGGGCACTAAGAGGGTTGAGCCACTGCAAACATTCCTCACTCTCTGGATTGTCCCTAAAGGGTGGTCAAGCCAATGGAGCCATTACACTCAGATTCAGACTGCACAGACTCAGCGTTTACGTACCTTGCAAGATGAGTTGGTGACATGCAAAATTGATCTGGATGATGACCATGATCAAGATGATAGGATCATTGCCAAGCTTGCCTCTGAGAATGAGGCACTGTGGACATCAGTGAGAAGTTTGCAGCGAGAAGTTTCTAGCCTTAGTGAGTATTAGTCATTCTTTCTTTATGTGTTGAATTCTATGGTAACTCAAGAGGTTTGCTCAACTGATTTGCGGGACATCTCTCCTGATGGCAATTTTTGTTAGCTAGCTAGCTTTCCTCTTCTTGAGTCATCTTGAACCTATCCGATACATTTAGTTTTTTGTTTGCAAGATTTTTGCCAGTAGTTCCTTTAACTGAATGGTGTGCATGGTTTCCTGCAGTTTTCCATTTTAAATTGATATAAAATGCAAATTTTCTTCTGATGAATAGTGAGATCTTGATTTCATGTTAGCAGGCTTGATGCCCTAGAAGGTGAAATTTGGGGCATGTCTTTGTGCTATATTCATGGGGTGTAGGGAGCAGGGTTGAAATTGATGTTTTTGGGTTGATTATTTACTTATTTATCAAATCCTAGGAAATTGGTGCAGGTCAAGGAGAAAATGGGCATATTCAGAACTGCAGTAACATTGGCTCACATAGTGCCTGTATGATAGAAGTAAAACAATTCAACTACAAAAACTTTATGCCATGTATTCCAGGAAAACTCAAATTCTAGCATGAAACTTTGACCATATCTTCAACTTTTGTTTGAGATTTCCGACATAGTAGGGAATTGTGAAACTAATAATTTTGTGATCTTATTTCTATTATTATAGATGTTGTACAATTGAAATCCAACCATGAGGAGAATGCCCTGGAAAGAAATGTGTCTCTCAAGGTGCTGTTCACTTTCAGGTGAAGAATCCAGTCAGAAAGTGATCTCATTGAAAGAGGAGATGAACAGATTACTCAGAGAAAATGATGAGCTTCGTGCAGCTGTAGCAGGACTACAGGATAATCCTCAGAGGTAGGCTACCTTCAAGATGATCCTCTCCATTTCTTCTAGCTTAGCAATGGGATATCTCTTCAGTTTGAAACCACTGAAGTTTTACTGTTGTGTATCAATAGTATGTCTGCCTCTTTGACTATCATTAGCAAAACAGCATCACCTCATTAACACATCAGTACTTATTGCATACACTCTCAACCTTATGAGCTTAACATAAAATAAAATTGACACTTAACAGAGCTATGATCTGATATGATCATATGATGTGACCATGAGATTTTAAGGTTGAATTTGTTCTATGCAAAAAACCAATCTGGCTTTAAAAATATGGATCCGTATGATAGCAACTGCCCCGAGCAGCTTGGCATGTTTTTGACTCCCCACTCACTGACTGACTTGGATCAAGGGAACATGGATTGAGAAGGAAGCTATTACTGCCCAGTTTGAACCCACTCACCGAGTAAAAGTTGCCAGTTTCACATAAAGGCAGTTTTGAATGTTTGACTTCAAGTATTTCCTGAGTTCAAGTATTTGATGTCAATATCATGATTAGAAAATGCAGCCATAAGAGATTTGTTCACAGTTTGATTTTCTGTTCTAAAAATAGAAGTTTCTTTTCTGCCTCTCTCTCTCTCTCTATCTATCTCTTGCCTGCTGTTTTCAAATGTAGGTGTTGTTGGGGCTACAATGGACTCTTATTAACACAAACTGCCTAATGGTATCCCAATCTGTTCGTGTCAGCAGAAGTTCGTGTTATCTGTTGTTCTGCAGATCTGCATTCCTTTTTTAATTTTCTCCACCTCTCTCCAGTATTGAACTCCTCCTAAATCTTCTTGCAATTTTGACTCTTGGTGCTGTCAACTTTGCCAGATCATGTGCTTTGGACACCTCACTTTGCTTGCTACCTATCTGTAGTTGGTTGATAATGTCAACTTTGTCTTTTAGAGACAAAGACTTCTGCTTCCAATTTGTCGCCATAGTCAGTCTGGGTCAAAACAACAAAGAGCAAACAACAGGAAAGAGCTGGCTTTACCAAAGAGCAGGTGACTTTATCCTTTAATGCTCAAGGGGAGCTTTGTTTCTTTGGCTGCCCTGCTCAGCTATGCTATCATGATGTTTAATCATCAGTTTAACAGCAGTTACATGGGTTAAATAGTGAAACACAAGCAGGAATAAACATCTTAAACAGAGATTTGCCTAGCTGCATTTAGGGAAAATAATCTGTGTTAACTGGCATCACCATTAGGTATTTCTTTTGGAGTTGGAACAGGGCACTGCAGTTCATCCATGCTATCTGTCATCCTTGTTAAGTGAATCCATGTTAACAAGAGTACACTGTATTTTTTAATTATGCTTAGGTGATTGGAGGTTTCAGAGCTTAAAGCTTCAGGAAGGAATTCCGTAAATTAGTTGCAGATAAAAATTTTATCTTTTATTATGACACTTATTATGAAACCTGCTCTCTTCCTTTTTATCATAGGTTCAAGACTGTGATGAGTGCTCAATCTATGAGTTCCCTTATGCTGTCACCAGAGCCATGTGAGATTGTAAGTGATGTTCCCAGTTCCAGGTCTGCAAGTGGTTTAGATGCAGCATCTTGCTCCAACCAAGATTTTTCAACCTTCAAGGATCTGCAATTCCATTCACCTGACTTGCCCCTTGTGAAAGATGAGAATTCTGAGCTATTCATTGAAGAAGGAATAGGACCTGACACACATTGGATATATGCACTTCTTCAAAGGGAAGAACAGAACCCAGAAAAAGAAAGTCTTCATTCACTGAGCAATTTTCCTTCCTGGGAGAATACCACCAGTGATATTTTGGTAGTAAATGGTGAAAAACCTGCTGCCAACATTCCTCAATCTCAAAGTAATGGCCATGATGATGAGAAGCTCTTCCAGTCTTCCTCTGCTGACAGGCTTCACTATAAAAATCTGCCTCAGGTCAAAGGAAGATATACAGCTGATGAGGAATCAGTTCAAGAAGAGAAGCCAGAAGATGAATGGAAGCACCCCAAGGGTGTTGAGGAGGAATTCAATCACCAAATTGAAATCCTGGAGAAACTCTTGGTGCTGGAATTGAATCAAGTGGAAAAATGGCATTCTCTCGTGTCTCAATGCCAACACCGTTCATCATCTATGACTCCTGGATTCTCCTTTATTTGCAGGTTTGTGATCTCTTCCTAGCTCAAATCAACTATCATTGTCATTCTTCAGATATGTGTTATTCTGTGATTATTTTCTGCCATGAATGAACTCCCAATTTCTTTTCTGAATGAACTCCCAATTAAATGTTTCAGCATAAAAAAGTAATAAGACAAAACATCACTGAAAGGTATGCATTATTTTTAAAGAAGTGGGAAAAAATAGTGGAATCTTTGTGCTACAGCTTCCATAGATGGCATGTAAAACAATTTTATATTTTTGTATGGTCAGTCTATTTCTTATCATAACAATTCTCGCATTGTTACACAGTGATGCAACTGCTGTGAATCTAATACTATTATTTAAGTTGAAACTTAAATAATGGTGTCACTTGGTGTCAAGAGCTATGATATAAGGAACAAAAATTAGTCCACATTATGCTAGGTTTTCCTATGTATGGTACAAAATGACTCAAAATGAGATGGGGTCTCAATAGTGTTAAGGACATTTTGTGCAAAATGAAGGCGAGCTCTAGTTGAACTATAAACTTTGTGGTTGATAAGTATACCTATGTGGAAGCTGCTTCCTATCTGAATTATATGTTTCTAGAGGCTACTATTGTGAATCACATGGGAGAAAGTAAGGTGATGACCATCCTGAATGGGCCTAAAGTCACAATGAGTTTGTCAATTAACTTTGCCTTTCCGCTTCTTATATAAGGAAGTCAGCAACAATAAAGCCCCTCTGCATCAATCTGAGTGAAATAGTACAAACCAGCAGTCAGTTAGTTGCATTGCAGGATATCCTCAGCAATAGATTTCTTCGCTTCTGGCCTTGAATAAGATGGACCATGGGCTATGATATGCTTACCAAGCTCTGCACCTCATTGTCTTTAGACCTGTATTTGTTTTAGAATTGTAACTGCATAGTTATGTCTGCTTTTTTTAGTTGTGGTTCTGACTGTCCTTCAAGTAGTGTTTTACAAGATTTAATTGACTGGATATGCATATATATGTAAGAGTTTTCAGTTATGGTATATCCTTCTTTTCACTTTAAGATACCTGGACCATCTTCTCACCTCTTTCACCAAGATTTCTTCTGACAAGCATGGTGATTCTTCTGAAGAGCAGCAATTCAATGATGACTTAACAAGAAGGTCTGAGGGAAAATCCAAACACAACTTCAGATTGCTTCATTCATGGCTAGACTCATGGGGTATGGATCCAAGAAAATTCATGGCTGCATCCCATGATTTTGTAAAGGAAGTCCAGCATGCATCCAAAGACTTGCTGAAGCTTGCTGAAGAAAAAGTGGTGATGACAGCACATTCAATGAACCGGTTTGGGCGCAGTGTGTGGGAAAAGAATAGAAAACCCTTGAAAGATATTTTGCAGGAATTTGGGAAGCAGGTCCAGACTATTGGTGGATTGGTTGGAAAGCAATGGCAGAGGCTTTTTCAAGAATCTCAGAGTGATCCGAGTGGTGATGGTGAAAGTGATGAAAGTTTTTTTACAGAGGGCCATTCAAGTGAGACACTCAAAAAGTGGGAAGAACATTATCAGACCTGGTGGGAGGATCGATCTCAAAGCAGGGAAGAGCAACGTGAGAAGGAGGGCCAGGAGAACTGGTTCATTGAATTGGGCAGGGCTCGCAAGAATCTCCGTGGACCCGAGCAACGCCCGAAGGACCCCAACGGACGACCCCGACTCCAGATGGAAGACTTTGACGACGACGACGACGATGACGATGACGACAACGATGGCGAAGATGATCTCGAGAAGTTGATGCAGAAGCAGGACTGGAGGATGAGCGAAGACTGCTTCCATTGTCAAGAAGAAGAGAAGTGCAGCAAGCACTGCAAGGGATTTCGTAATGACAAGCACCGCCACAGGGTCTGGAAAGATCTCCACAAGAAGCGGACTCATGAGCAGGCCAAAAAATGGAGGAAACGGGAGAAGAGAAATGAGAAGAAACAGAAAAAGAATAGGAAACTCAAAGAACAGAAGCATGACTAATTGTAGTTGTTTGTGGTCTGTGTTTTTTTGTGCATTTCTTGTCTCTTCTCACTTTGGGAGCTTCTTCACATCTTCATCTTCAACTGAGGTCTATGCAGAGCTCACAAAAGTTTCTTCACTGGTCTGTCAAAATGTGTCACATTGTTGGGGGTTTCTGGACATTGATATTTTGGCTGTGTGGTGACCACATGTTCACCAAATCCCTTCACTGTGGAGGGTGAAATGGCACTTTTAAGCTAGTCAGGCTATGGCAGAATCATGTGTCTTTCTGGGATTTGAAGTTCAAATGTGGGTTTAAGTCTGAGTAGGAGTTAATTTTCCTTTGGTGAATTACCATGTGATTTCTTTTCAAAAGCTTTTGATAGTAGCAATCTTTTATGGGACTGTGCTACATAGTGTTTTACCTTGTCCTACAATGTACATATGTTGTGATGAACATTTTGCATTGATGTCATGCAACTTGGGGGGGTTTCAACCACCTGAAAACATGAAATATGATCTTTTGTATGACCAAAAACAAAAAACATCAAGATATTATCTGCAAATGGCTTGAAACAAGTTACTTTAGAGGGTCTTTCCACTAAATTTATATTTGCACAGTTAAGTGGCAATATTTAGTGTTTATATCAGAAAATCAAAAAAGAGCCAGAATAGATTCAGCATTATCTGTGGGTTGACACTGCATGTGCATGAGCATGTTTGAAACACTGGGCAAGTGAGCATGCACTGTTCCAGAAAAGGGCCTAGTATGACTGGGAAGTCCCAAATTCCCTAAGTTACTTTTATTATTTGCTGCTTCCACTGCACAAAATTCGGAAAATTGAGATGTAAAGGAAGTAAGAAATATTGTTGCAAAAGCCATTTTGCTTTGTATCTGACTTTCATAACAAAATGAATCTTAAATCATCACTGCTGTAGGCTGCCAACTGTTCCATTTGTGAAATGGTTACAGAAAATATAATATGACCTTGCTTTAGAATGTGCCCCCTACTGATTATCCTAGCTTTATTTTTATTTTTTTGTAGTTAGGCAGATTCCAGAAGTTCATTATGAAATTTTCCAATTGAAAAAAATGTTTTCCTGATTCTCTTATTTGAATGTCGATTTGTCGATCTCTTCCCCTACCTATGTGGGTGACGATGAGTTCTGAAAGGGCCCCAATACTTACACACTTTAAAAAGTGTGGAAAATTACATCACCAACTGGGTTAGAGGTATGCATCTTGAGGTTTTCCTGTGCATCTCCTTCTCTGTGATTTAGTTACTGAACGTATCATTTACCAGTTGTTCATGGAAATTGTTTCCATGCCGACAGCTCCGTAGGTAGATGATTGAAATCTCTTGCAGCTTTCTTTGGCACCGGTTGACAAATTGAACCGTTGAGTGTAAACTGGCCACTATTCTTGCAAAATATACAGAGTTTCTCCTGGTACGTTTTTCTTCTGTTTCGTTGTGTTGTGTTTTATTAGCTGAAGTCCTTCGACGGTGCAGTCGTTAACGGCTGCTGCTGGAGCAAGGTAGGAATAATGCATTTCCATTTGTTTACCCGCTCCATGAACTATAGAAATATCTGAAGCGGAAACAGAACTCTGGAGTCCTCGATGGCATTGGGAAAATAGTTGGTCGGCGCCTAGCCCAGGCGCTGACCGACCCACCAGCCCTAGCCCTCCTTAGATAACTCGCACCGTCATTGGTGGTAGAGGCGAAGTAAAGGAGGACAGCTGGAGGTGGTGTGCGTGGCGATTGTAGCACGAGGACCACCCGATTCTCTTCATTCAGCTCGAGGAATCCGTCTATGTCAAAAATTTTGTTTCCTAAATTAGTACTGGATTAATTTTTTTTTTAACAGGTCAAATCCCCTCAAGTTTGTGAGTGTTTAAACTTAGGCAACAGCTGAAAGCTGGCCCTAAGACACGGCTAAGAAAGAATAAACGAGTTTCTTCCTCTTCGAGCAAGCCAGAGAATATTGGTTTCAACCTTCCAGATGAATGAAGAAATCTAGGAAGAGCAGAGCGATTAAACGCGACCAGGTCGAAGGTCTCGTATTGAGACCGAACAAATACGAACTTCGATTCGTCGGTTTAGTAAGAACCGTTGCTAACGAGGACTTTTCAGTAGTTATTGTGTTGCAATGGGAAGGTGAACAAAATTTGACAAACGCGGTTCTTCGACCGGATGTGTGCAAGTGAGAATTTGGAGCTAATCTGTACCCCCACCTCTCCAACGGGATGCCACCAGGCTGACAATCTCTTTCTAACTTTACAGAACACTTACAATTTTTTACAGTAGTGAAACGCAGTGCAGGAATGGTGGCGACCTCGCAGTCTCCCTTCACTGGAAGAATCTTGTCTGGGTTATATTTGTTTTCGTCGTGAGATGGGAGATTTGTGACTTTCTAAGAAATAAACGTAAACGAGCAGAATTTATCATTTTAAAAATTATGAGTAGGTTGATATTTATTTTCAAACTTTTAAAGATCTCTTTACTATAATATAATGTACATTGTCCAGAAGAAAAAAAAACTGAAACGATTTCCAACGCGTAGGTGTTGGTTTTTTGTTCTGACTACCTCAGTGCACGTTTCAGGCTTGACTAATGAATCTAATAAGCACATGCATCCCAAGTTACAGCAATTTCCTTTCACTTTTTCAAGAAACACAGGAGATAATTCAGAGCGTGACAGCTATAGGGGGGGAACGACCGGAACTACAACGGGCGCGTGCGTCAAAATTCAGTGCTTCGCTTCATAAGGGGTTTTTGACGTAATGTCTACGACCAAGAAAAAAGTACATTATTCATTAAAAAAAAAATTTTTTTTACCGGCAGTCTACGAGTGACGCCCGGAACTGGTCGATGGAAATTTCGCGTCGCACCAGGGAATCACCGCCCGCGTTGTGAGAGTTCTCGACCGGAAGGGATGTCGATTTCTCGCCGAGCCGGAAGGTATGTCGATCTCGTGCCACATCCCCTCCGTTCGCCCCGAGTCGCTTCTGGCCGCTTGGCATGCTCGAGGATTCGTTGCGAGGAAAGAAATACGTTACGAGACGAGCCCTGAGCTCGACGGTCTTCCAGTGGTTCAAGCAATGCACCCAAAGACGACCCTGCCGAGTGCTAAATGAGACTGGTTCAGACGGTATGGAGAGAGGAGAGAGGAGACCGTCGAGAAGCGAGAGAATTGGCCTCCCTCGGTATACTTAAGGAGTTGCAGTACTCGCGACTGTCTCGCCGCACCTCGTATTTTAACGAATACGAAGCACTAATGCTGATGCGCAATGTGCAGCTGCACGATTCATAACTCGTACGATAGGTTCCGGATTGATCGCGTCGTTGTAACCGATCGGCACCGAAACATCGAGTGTCAAAAAAAAATGAAGACGACACACCAGCTGGCAAAAAATCACCTCGACGTTCGCCCGCGAGCCTCGACGAAGGCGAAGGAATCCGTCGCCTTCCACACACGCACACATACAGTATATATTTATGTATGAGTAAACTAATTTATTTTAAAGTTTCAAAGCTTAATATTCGGCGGTTGAGCTGCCTGAGCTTTATCAGAAATACGGCGGGTAGCCCTACGTCATCTCACGTCTTTTACGCCTTCTTCGGGCAAAAATAACTCTGGAAAGGTACGAAGCTCCTGTTAAATTGCTAGTTTTCTCGCATTTACAACTCAAAATTTTCATTCAAAGCTCTACGGTATCCACGACTGAACGGTCATAATTATTGGACTGAAGAGTCAAGGGGGGGGGCGTGCCCCCCCTGCCCCCCCGTAGAGGGCGCCACCGGTCACAATACTTATTGCAAACGATTTGCCTTGCAAAGGATCATGCGGAAATCCCTCTGGAGGCAACCGAGATCGCGTCCACTGACGTCACCGGAGTAGTTTTAATCTTGCCGATCGGATGAAAAATCTGCTTGGGCTCCATCCGATCGATCAGAGGTCAGAGGTCACGAGCCGAAATGCGCTCTCGCATTCTCTTGGGGATTCATTCCGAGGAAAATGGAGTCTTTTGGTGTCGTCCGGGAAAAATCCGGAAGGGAATAATTTTTTTTTCCACCATTAAGCTCTTGATTAATTAAGCCGACTAGATCTACCTCGCGCGACATCCCGAAACGGCGGATTCGGTTAAATTATTCCTTTCCGCATTAATTATTATTTTTGAATTTATCATATATTGTGGAGTCTTCCTCGAGACCCGCAGGGAATGGCCAGTGTTGGGCGCGTTACTTGTGAAAAGTAACTAGTTACAATTACAAGTATTTCATCCAAAAAGTAATTAGTTACCAGTAGAATTACTTCGCACCAAAAGCAACTAGTTACAAGTAGAATTTATTTTTTAAGTTACTTTTTCTTAAAAAAAATTCCCATCTTTCTACAGCTTCTCCACTTCTTCGACAGAAGCTGGATGCATGGACTGATGAGCGAAAGTTACCCCGATTTCATGAAAATTGAATTATATGATCATCACACTAGATAAATACTCATGCTCACTCTTTCCCCTGTGCCTCTTCCCTTTCCATGGCAATAGAGTCAAACTCCACCTGAGAGATATCGGGAGAGAAAAATATTAACTCTAAGGTAGGGCTAGGCTCTGTCCTAGAGGCGCCTGGGGGCGGCTACTCCCCGTAAAATACACCACTACATCGATGGAACTCTCGAATTCGTTTCTGACCTGCACATCGAAATATTTTTGCAGGTACGGCCAAGAAACCTGCACTGAATAAACCATGTTTTCTCAAGGCAATTTCATGTCCCCGTCTTTCCTCCCAATATTGCATCAATTAAGATGCATGTGGCCTTGCTGGCTGTTTTCAGCAAATTTAGTAAATCAAGTAAAGGAACGCGTTACAGTAACGCCACATACTTTTGCCATGAAAAAGGAACTAGATACCAGTTCCGTTGCCCTCCCCTAAAAAGTAACTCGTTACCTTAAAAGTTACTGAAAAAAGTAATTAGTTACTGTAACGCGTTACTTTTACTTCGTTACCGCCCAACACTGGGAATGGCGTAACGATTACGGAGGGAAGAACCTCCTCCCTCATACGCATACGTAAGAGCCTACATCCTACTTTCCCCTCGTACTCCCTCGGCAGTGGGTCGCCAAGAGCCACCGCGAGTGGACGCACGGACGGTACGCGTGAAGCCGTGCCGAGCCTGCACGGGACAGTGCGGACTATTCCAGGATCCGTGGTGACGTCGGTCCTCCACCGGACAACTAGGACGAGTGTCGCGATCGGTACTCTGGCGTGGCCTGTAAGACTAAATTACGCGAGGTATTTATGATCTTACTGGCAAACTGCCTTATCGTTACTGATTTAAAGAATTTGCTCCCTTTGGATAGGTTCGTAGTGGTCGGTACGGAATCAATTACCTTGGGCAAGGATTCCAAAGCGAACCAGGCTTCACATAGATGATATTTATTCTAATTTCGCTACCTAACATACAGTTTCAAATGCAAGAAGATATCAGAGATATTAACAGTCAAACAATGATCTAATATCCTCAGCTCAGGCGACAGCTTCAGTTCCCAAAAACACAATGAAGTTCTGAGAAAAGATGAACAAAAACTAGCTCACCATCGATACAACAGCGCTCGCACCTTATCTCGTGATTTATTGAAATCACGGCTAACACAATGAAATGGAAAGGGGTTGCTCTGGCTCCAACCGTTTCACGCCCACTCTCCGATCTCGTCCTTGCCATTTCTGATCGTTCCTTCCGGCTTCAACCGCCAAGGAACAGGATCCGGCTCAGTCCGGCTTCGACCAGCACTTAGGTACTCGGCCCCAACCGAATAGAAATAGCCAGGTTCCAGATGATAAACGGGACCCTAGTCCTGACACTCGGTGTCGGTAGCGAAGTCTGGAACGCTCTGTCCTCTCACCTCCTCCTCCTTCTCTTTCCTGAAGTTCGAGGTCGAGTTTATATAGTGTTCCTTCCCATTAGTCCATGTCACGGCACGTGGAAGATGAGTATCTGGACGACCGGACGAATGCTACCACATCGATAATAATCCTTTAATGAAGTGGTTCTCCGGACGAACGTGGATTCCTTTTGACACGTGTCTCGGAGCGCCATAGATGAAAAGGTATCATGAAGTAATGTGAAAACCAATTTTCAATCGCTTTCCCTTTCTTCAAACCCCCCCCCCCCCCTCCAGCCTCTATACGGGACTCACTAACGTAAGGCTTAGGCCTAACCAACAGACTGCCTTCAGATCACGTCAAGGCCTACCTTTTCGAAAAGTTTTCTTTGAGTTAAGAGCTGAATGCCGCGGTTAATCCGGATATAGGGTGAATCGTGGTCTTCGAGACATCTGGCTAAGGACGTGTTATGTTAGGCCAATCGCAGGCCTTTTCATACGTTCATGAACCATTTCAGAGTGGACGTGTAACGTTAGACCGATTGGAGGACTGTTTCGCATTTCATGAACCACTTCAGTGCGGACTTTGAACGTTAGGCCCATCATGAGCTCCTCGAACCATCTCGAATAGGTCTGAGGTGAGAATGCCCTCAAGCAGCATGGAATCCATGGTACGCGCCATCCTGTTAATTCAGGGATGTCCGAATAAGATATCAGCATGGGTCTCGGGTTCCTCGTCTGCGACATCCCCCAGGCGAGGCCTCGTGGCAACGATGTCCGAGACCGTCTCGCTTTTCGCACAGTCACAAAAGTT